AGATTATTCAGATTATGTAAAAATTTGTGAGATTCTTCTGGTGATTTAGTAGAATGAGCCCAAATATCATCAATAAATCTGCAGGATATGTCTCGTTTTTCAGATAAAGAATTCCAAAATTTATTCATCCAATAGGTCATATAGATATTGACATATGTAACTGCAAAAGGTGTCCCCATAGATGTCCCAGATCTGTCCGAAGAAGTTCCCATTGAATTCAAATTCATTGTTGTGCAGAACAAAGTCTGCAACTTGTAGAATGCTATTAGTTTCTTCTCGACTGATGTTGTTCGTTTTCTCCAGAGCATGTTTCAAAGCATCAAGACCTTCAGATATAATGATGCTTAACATCAAGAGTAAGTAGGTGACTATCTATAGAACTGTTGTTGAGAGATTTTTTGTAGAAAATGAGTGGTGTCTCTGACAACTTCATGACAGTTATTCTGAGCTACCTATTTTAATTTCCAGTCAAGCCATTGAGATGCCTTGTTATCTGACTACATATGGGTCTGCCAGGTGGAATTTTTGATGTAGTTTTAACTTTATGTATTTTGCCAAGAATGTAAAAGTGGGCTGGTGTCTTAACTGGTCTATGGAGGATAGCTTCCTTCTCTTTATCATCAATTTTCAATGAATTAATTAAATTTTTCAGTTGATCATGGATTTCATTAGAATTATCTTTCCCTACCTTCTGATACACTGAATCGTCCTGAAGATGTTTCTCACATTCTTTGATGTCGGTCTTGTCGGTCCCAAATAACGATACCACCTCCTTTGTCAGCTTTACCTCACAATTTCTGTATCATTCCATATTCATGTGGGCATATAAAAACCGTTCATCGAAAATACGTCAAATTCGAACTTGACCGAGATCTTATCAATCTAAAGCATCACACCAAGTTTTATCAAAATCAGATGAAAACTGTAGTCTCTATAGTGCTCACAAGAAAATGTTGACGGATGGATCGACGGACTGGGACTTTCGTCGAGCTGGCGTATATCAATAAAAATTCGTTTTCTAACCAAAATAGTGTCGAAATTGTACGTATTCCTTCTGTTATTTTATGTAAATGAGGGTTCCACAACATTTTAGTTTAGTTTTTGTCATAGGTGTCCTCTGCAGAATTTCATGTAAAATACGATTTCCCAGTGGAAAAATTTGTTATTTTCCATTGTTTGTAATGATACGTTGCAATGTTGATCATAATTTCTAATGATATGATTCAACCAGTTTTAATCCACAAGTGTATCAACAATTCCATTTTCTTATCGGTCGAATGTAAAATATTTGTCATTTTATGCTAATGAGATTGTTGTGACGTCATAATTTAAGGATTTCCCTTGCGAGATTCGGTCAAAATATCCAGAGAATTTGTTCAAAATAATTTTTACTCCTATTATTACAGAGATATATTTTATCAAATAGTCTTATTTTTGAAAAGAGTGAAAAATATTGTAGCGCTTATTAATTTGAGTTTGACTAAATGTTGTTTTATGTAACTTTATGACTTCATTTGGCTATTTTTAGATAGATCTGTACTTCTATCGAAATTGGCTATCTTTTCACGTGAAGACAATTTTATTTTTGATTCAGGTGGCCATCATAAAATTGGGTTGGCAAAACATCATAAGATTTCAATTTTTGCTGAAATATTACGTGAAATGTATGCATATTATCAAATAGATTGATCTACTTTGATTTCAATTATAGAATATTTGTGACCCCCACATCGTGTTTTCAAATTCAAGCTTTATCCGTCTCTTCTATCCACTCTTTCTAGTTACTCAAAGAAGTATTCAAGTTCTGTTCATGTATTTTAAAGGCGAGACATTTATCATTTGGCAAATTTTAAGAAGGATGTTTGCAATATTTTTTTTGTATAGTTTTAGATCTTAAATTAAGGAACTATACAAGTGAATTTCTAAAAGGGATATTGTCTTCTAAAATAGGTCTTTGACATCTCAGAGCTTTCCAGCACACCAATTGATTTCTTTAGAGATGAACGGTTTGTTAGAAAATGCAATTCAAAGTTATTAGAAATTACCTTAGGTGACACCATTAAATGATAAGACACACTTGAAAAACTCTTTCAAAATTCCATTCAAAGTTAAAGGGTAATTTTTTTTGACAAAATCTCTTTAAGATAGCTTGCCAGGCAAGGTAATATATGCCCACTGGCAGCTTTGATTTTGAACATAATATTTAGCAGTACAGTAACAATCACCAATATGAAATATTCAACCTTCAGTCATACACTTCTTTTGAACTCTTTAGCACAACACTGAATAATATTGAGTATGAGTTATTGCCCTAGTTCTTGAAAACGTGTTCAATCTGTAGCTCGTGAAAACTCTAGAAGGCAAATATTCAATCTTCAGGACTGAATAATAAAACCAAGTTTTGTCAAAATCCAGAAAGAATTTAGTGTTTAAGAGCTAAATTTGAAAGCGGTTTCAAGAACAAGGACAATAACTCATACTAAATATTTTTCAATTCTTCTGATTTTCAATAGGGTTCATCCTTGGGTGATTACGAACATTCACACCAAGTTTCATCAAAGTGATTATGTGCTAAAAATTGAACACGTTTTCAATAGCAAGGGCAATAACTCATACTAAATATTTTTCGATTTTTCTGATTTTCAATAGGCTTTATCCTTGGGTGATAACAAACACTCATGCCAAGTGTTGTCAAATTACGTCAAGTATTGTCCCTTCTAGACCGTTTACAAGCTAAAATTTTAACGCGTTTTCAAGAACAAGGGCAATAACTCATAGCAAATATTTTTCAATATTTCTGTTTTTCAATACGGTTTATCCATGGGTGATAACCAACACTCATGCCAAGTTTCGTCAAAATCCGTCAAGAATTGTGCCTTCTAGAGTGTTTACGAGCTAAAAATTGAACGCATTTTCAAGAACAAGGGCAATAACTTATACTAAACATTTTTCGATTCTTCTGATTTTCAATAGGGTTCATCCTTGGGTGATTATGAACACTCACACTAAATTTCGTCAAAATCCATCAAGAATTGTGCTTTCTAGAGTGTTTACGAGCTAAAAATTGAACGCGTTTTAAAGAACAAGAGCAATAACTCATACTAAATATATTTCAATTTTAACCGATTTTCGATAGGGTTTATCCTTGGGCGATAACGAACACTCATACCAAGTTTCATCAAAATCCGTCATGAATTGCACCTTCTAGAGTGTTTACGAGCGTTTCAAGAACAAGGGCAATAACTCAAAGTAAATATTTTTTGATTCGTCTGATTTTCAATAGAGTTCATCCTTGGGTGATTACAACCATACCAAATTTCGTCGAAATCAGTTAAGAATTGTGCCTTGTAGACTGTTTACGAGCAATTGTGGACGGACGGACCGACGGAATGAGGTGACGCAATATACGTCCCCCCTTTCATGTGGGTGTATAAAAATTGATTTTTGTTTTGTTTTGTTTTTTTTGTTTATGCCTGACTAGACAAAACTCTTTCAATTGCAGTTAGACTGTTAGATTTTCAGCTGAATAGTTTTGTTGGATGAGGTGGTTAGCTACTGGATCATCTGTTTAATTTTTTTTGAAAAGTGCAATGACATCCTTTGATATAGGTAGGATTTCTTGCTTACAGAGGACTAAACCTCAGCTTGTCCTCTTTTGTTGAGTAAAATTTTACGAAAATTCATCATCAAATTGAGTAAAAATACCGATTTCCTAATCGGAATCATCACTGACAATACCATGATATATTGCTAACACTGTCTTGAACAATATTCACAACATCATGTACAGAAAACTTTTGATCATTTTCAAACAAAATTATATCTCAAATTTCCACTGATCACCCATCTGGCTTTGTTTACATGTAGAGATAGCCTTGACCTTCAGCGTGATCAGGTGCATTCGATAGTCAGTAGATAGAATACATTCTACAGATAAGAACATGCTCTCACTGCAGTCAGAACTCACTAGAGAATGATCTAGCGCTAACTGGTCATAATTTTATCATTTCCGATACCATTTTTATTTCTCGAAAGTAAAATGTTTTTCTTGCTGAAATACATGTATGGACATACGGACAAAAAATTTCTTTTCTAAAAATTTATACATGGGAGCTTTTCGGATACATACAGAATTTTACTTTTTAATTTTAAAGATAGTGGACCACAGCCATATACGCCCACCACGGCATGCAGATTTTGGGCAAGGGCAATAACTCTGCTTCAAAAATAGCTCAAATTCGAACTTGATCTTCGTTTTATGAATATGTCTACACATACCGAATTTCGTTTGATTCCATCAAAAAATCTAGTTTTTAGAGTGTTTACGAGCAATTGATGTTGATAAAAGCACTTATTCTATAGAGGTTAAAGGGCGATAACTCCTCAAAACTGACGAAGAGGCCTAAATCTTGAAAAAGTCTTAAATCTAATCAGAAGTAAACTAAACTTTCTCAAACCTTTCGATTTAGGTCCAATAACATCCATTTTAAGTTTCATCGAAATCGGTTGAAAACTAAGAGAGTAATAGCATATTCAGATTTTGGGGCAAGGGCAATAACTCTGCTTCAAAAATAGCTCCAATTCGAACTTGATCTTCGTTTTATGAATATGTATACACATACCGAATTTCATTTGATTCCATCAAAAAATCTAGTTTTTAGAGCGTCTACAAGCAAATGTTGACGGACAGACGGACGGACCGACGGGTGAAGACAATATACGTCCACATAGAGAGATATAAAAATAAAATTTCGAAAATTAATAAGCGGGTACAGAAAATTATTTTGTTATGGCCTATGGGCTGATTTAAAACCATTCATTCAAATATGACAAAAAAAATTTAAATCTGGCTTACTGTTGTGCGATTATAAGAAAATATGTCATGATTTAATGTTTTAAGTATATAATTTTTATGTCAAAATTTGTGAAAACATCATTTTTTTCACAATTCTCTACTTCTAAATGTTCTCATGTGCTAGATAACGACAAAATTGTTTCTCCTATTTCTCACTTTCCTTATCTAATAAATGAATTGTGATTACTATTGAAATAAATAATTTTGTTTAATGCGTATCGTTTAGTGTATCAAATTGCAATTTCAGATCTTTGCAGCCCTACAAGTTTGTGATACAAGTCATTAGATTTTAAACAATTTTCTACGCTCGTATATGATCTGTTCAAGAGTTTCAGTTCTCAGTGATCTTCAGTTTAGATATGTATGATAGGATTGGTTAGTTTGAGTCCCTGATTGGGTCTCGATCTGACACAATCACCAAAATTTCCGCCCAACGGAAGCAACAATGATATAAATCGAGGTCTTTTTAATAGTCCCATCACACCAGACTGCGACCATTTGCGATCTTACATTGACTGGAAATGTACTAGTGGTCGTGGTCAAGTCCTTAAAAAACTGAAGAACAGTTGACTTCAAACTGTAAGTTATGCGACCATATTGCGTTTTTGTCACGTGTACTGCATTTTTATACCGCACAAGGAGGTGTTACAAGGCTTGTCTGACGACATTCATGACATTCTCAACCCGTTCTAGGACAGACTCGAACCTCGATGGTAAGTGGCAACAACTGCATGATACCTGGCGTGTCATACACGCTTATAGCAACCTGTTGCAGTAGCAGTAGCAGTAAGAACGCCTTTTCTGTGTGACTTTAAGCCAATAAGAAATTTAAATTAGAGTAAAAAAGGACCAACTTACCTGATATAGAACACTGTAAGGTTAAAGTTTCCCCATCCTTAACTGTTTGTCCTTGTAAATGATCAAGTATGTTAGGAATATCTTTGGATGAATTTTTTAAAGTTGTGGTGGAGTCATTTTCAGAATGTGATAATGTTTCCGCTTCTAGAAGAGAAAATATATCATATCATAAAAGGAATTGTAAAGAGGTTTTAAATTTGTGTATGTGTATCGGGATAGCATCAATTTGCACTGTTCCAATTGTTGATCAAACATCTTTGGTTCCTGCTATTCTACTAAAACTAAGTGTTTGATGAAGATACACATAAAGGATTAAGAACAACTCTTTACAGATATTTGAGAGACAATAATTATCAATAGTTGCGTTTTTATTTTACCATATCTTAGTACATTATATCTGGGTACAATTTACAACTCCATTAAATTTATATTTTGTAATTTTCAAAAGGAATGAGCATATTGTAATATAGTGTACAAAAGATAGCTTGCAATGCAAGGTAACATACACCCACTGGCAGCTGTCAGAAATAATAGAACAGTCTTTAGTGACTAAAGTACGAATTTTCTCATATTGAAGAAATTATTTATGCTGAATAATTCCACAAAATTTTTTAAAATCAATATCAATAACCCAAATACAACAAACAATTAAATCACACAGCTCTATTCAAGGGCAAAAAACAACTTTTGACGCATGTTTACAAAGTCAAGGGCAATAACTCAAAAAATGTTCATCAAAAATATCTCTTGTTAGAACTTGTCCGAGATCTTATCAATTCCAATGATCACACCAAGTTTTATCAAAATCGGTTGAAAACTGTAGCTTCTATTGTGCTCACAAACAAATTTTGACACGTTTTTCGTAAGTCGAGGGCAATAACTCAAAAACCGTTCATCAAAAATGCGTCAAGTTAGAACTTGTCCGAGATCTTATCAATTCCAATGATCACAATAAGTTTCATCAGAATCGGATGAAAACTGTAGCTTCAATCCTGCTCAAGAACAATTTTTAACAAATTTCAAGGCGTTCTAAGTCAAGGGCCAAAAACCGTTCATCGAAAATATGTCAAATTCGAACTAGACCGAGATCTTATCAATCTAAAGCAGCACACCAAGTTTTATCAAAATCAGATGAAAACTGTAGTCTCTATAGTGCTCACAAGAAATGTTGACGGACGGACCGACAGACAGGGGCGACGACAATATACGACCACATATTCATGTACACACCAACAAATTTTTGGAAATTTGAAGACTGAATTCACACGATTTGGTGTGTACTGGCTTGGCATTCTCAAGTATTTTGCATACAGTTGTAGTTCAGTTTTAAGTTCAGTTGTGGTAATTGTTGTAAATATTTAGTATTTTAGTTTTTGCACATTACTATGGTAAAAATATAGTCTTTAATAAGAGTATTGGTATTTCTAAGCTTACTGAGGTATTTCACCGTATTATTTGCCAGTTCGATAGTTAGTTTAAACCCTCAACTTCTGGGTATGTATTTGTATATTTAATTTTTTGTTGTTGTTTTAATATTTCATTATTTATATTCATCATGTGTGACTAAAGTGGCATTAGAATTATAGTTTGTGTTTTATGTATTAGCATAGTTATGTTATTTTAATTTATCCATTTCTCTGATTGTTATATAATCATATTTATTGTACTTTCAGGGGTTTGTTTTAGTTTACATCACTCGCTGTGTGGTCATTCATTTGCTTTGACTCTCACCCGATAACAATAATACAGTATAATTTTACTGTCCAAGAGTTGGATAATAGTTTATTGCAGTTTTTGTAATGACAATTTGCAGTGTGTTTGAACTGCATTGTATTGCATTTGCAAAAGAATATTTTCGAATTTCCCACTTTTTTTCAATTTTTCAGCTCTATTTTTTAACTGATTTTGATCAAACTTTATTCATTTTTTTTTATCAAACTAATGGTTACAGGATAGCAATTCAAGAATTTCCAAATTTTGACTCTTTGACTTGCTTACTTTTGGAATTTGAACTTTTCAATTTCTCCTTTTTATATTGTTCGATCTAAAAAGGTACAGGACGGTAGACATTGTAATTGTGAACAAATATCTATTTAAGAAATTTTGATGTTGGTTTTGAAGCAATTTGCATGTAAACTTGCATTTTCTTGATTCAAAATTCTAAAAATTTCTGAAAAATTCTTTTTGAAATATCTTAAGACTTTCTCTCAATAGAGTAAACAGATTTACAGGTTTTTAACTGTTTAGCTAACTTGTTCCATAGGTGTGGTCCTGCTACACTGAATGACCTATCCACAACGGTTTTATATTTTTATACTTTGTTGCAGGTCAATCATTTCAACATTTGTACACCATCAGAAGAAGTTTGTCTTCGACCCAGACGTGTTTTAGAATAATGTGTAGCTTCCTTATTGCCTGTCTGGTGCCGTCTTATAGATAGGTAGACCCTGGATCAATTAAGCAGCCAACTTTTGTAAACTCGAAATTAAGCCCAAGGAGATAATTTGATTTGCATAAGTTTAATGTTTATTGAATCTCCAATCAATTGCTGACAAAATATGGAAAGCAGATTTTTTAATTTCAATTTTGTTTTTCATTTATTTGTGGTTGAGTCTATTTTCTTTCAAAACCTCAAAGGATATTATCTTGTGGCCTTAACCTTTGATGACCTTGTAACCTGAACAATATTAAATGCCCTTGATGATATCTACCCAATGATCTATTCATTTGAAGTGTCCAATGTTTAATTCAGCTTGATAACCTATTGAAAATTCTGAATTTTATCTTTTAAGAGCTCTGTCACATGACCTTGTTCATGTAGGCAAAACAAATTTTGTCTAAACCTTGTGGGCTAATGAAGATGGACAACACCAGGCAGGGTGCAATGAGGAAAATTTTGTCAGGACAGTGGCAATAGCCTGCTCTTTGTCAATTTCCAACTGTCGAGAGATCTGTACACAGCCTGTAACACACACAGCCTCGGTTTATTGTCCCATCCGAACTACTAGACACTTTTTAAATGCCAGCCCCTCTTACAATAGAGGAATCCAGGTTGAAAAATCTGAAGGTATTATCTGGACTTATGCCAAGTTTGAACCCGGGACCTTCAGGTTAGTGAGCAAGCGTCTAACTCACTCAGCCACCGCAGCTTCTTTTGAGGGATATGTTTAAGAACAACTTTCTTGTTATATGTTATAGGTGTAAAAGTTTTGAAATGTAGAATAACATGTTCCAAATGTTTCTGAGAATTCCTGCAATGTTGAGACACATCACATGGGAGATAATCTTGATTGATCCTTCAACACATTTACCAATTATTCAATTAGGAAACAGTATATAAGTCGAATAAAGACTTCAGACTCATACCATACTCTCCCAATTTATAGCTTAAAGAGAGCTTGCCAGGCAAGATAATATACGCCTACTGACAGCTTTGATTTTACATAAAAATATTTGGCAGTACAGTAACAATTACCAGTGTGAAATATATTCAGTCCTATACTTCTATTTTACCAAATTTTGTCAAAATCTGTCAAGAATTGGGCCTTCCAGAGTGTTAGCAGGCTAAAAACTTGAACGCGTTTTTAAGAACAAGGGTAATAACTAATAATAAATATTCTTAAACAGGGTTCATCCTTGGGTGATTACAAACACTCACTCCAAGTCGCTTCAAAATCTGTCAACAATTCTACCTACGAAAGTGTTTACGAGCTAAAAATTTAACACGTTTTCAAGAACATGGCCAATAACTCATACTTAATATTTTTCAATGTTTCTGATTTACGATAGGGTTCATCCTTGGGTGATAACAAACATTCTCAACAAGTTTCGTCAAAATCTATTAATAATAGAACCTTTGGGGCGATACTAAATAATATTGAGTATGAGTGAAACGTGAAGGCAAATATTCAATTACTGAATAATAAAACTAAGTTTTGTCAAAATCCGGCAAGAAACATGAGCTACAATTTGAACGTGGTTTCAAGAACAAAGGCAAAAACTCCTATGAAAGAGTTCATCCTTGGGTGACAACAAACACTCACACCAGGTTTCACCAAAATCTGTCAATAATTGAACCTTCTAGAGCGTTTATGAGCTAAAAAATTGAAGCATTTTCAAAGATAGCTTGCCAGGCAAGGTAATAGAAGCCCACTGGCAGCTTTGATTTTGAATAAAAATATTTAGCAGTACAGTAACAATCACCAGTATGAAATATTCAACCTTCAGTCACACACTTCTTTTGAACTCTTTAGGGCGATACTGAATAATATTGAGTATGAGTTATTGCCCTTGTTCTTGAAAACATGTTCAATTTTTAGCTCGTGAAAACTCTTAAAGGCAAATATTCAATCTTCAGCGCAGGACTGAATAATAAAACCAAGTTTTATCAAATTCTGGCAAGAATCATGCCTTTTAGTGTTTAAGAACTAAATTTGAAAGCGTTTTCAAGAACAAGGGCAATAACTCATACTAAATATTTTTCAATTCTTCTTATTTTCAATAGGGTTCATCCTTTGGTGATTTCGAACATTCACAGCAAGTTTCTAGCCTTCTAGAATGATTACGAGCTAAAAATTGAACACATTTTCAAGAGCAAGGGCAATAACTCAAACTAAATATTTTTTGATTTTTCTGATTTTCAATAGGCTTTATCCTTGGATGATAACAAACACTCATGCCAAGTTAGTCAAAATCCTTCAAGAATTGTCCCTCCTGGAGTGTTTACAAGCTAAAAATTGAACGCATTTTCAAGAACAAGGGCAGTAACTCAGACTAAATATTTTTCGATTTTTCTGATTTTCAATAGGGTTCATCCTTAGGTGATAACAAACACTCATGCCAATTTTCTTCAAAATCCATCAAGAATTGTGCCTTCTAGAGTGTTTACGAATTAAAAATTTAACGCGTTTTCAAGAATTGTGTCTTGTAGAGTGTTTACGAGCAATTGTGGACAGACGGACGGAAAGAGGTGACGGCAATATACGCTCCCCATTTCATGTCGGCGTATAAAAAGTAAATATTTTTATAGATAGATTTTGTTCGTGGTCACATTTGTGAACCCTAACGAAAATCAGAAAAATATTATTGCCCTTGCTCTTAAAACCGCGTTCAAGTTTTAGTCTGTAAACACTTTAGAAGACCCAATTCTTGACAGATTTTGATGAAACTTGGTAATATTATTCGGTATCGCCTCAAAAGTTCAAAAGAAGTGTATGTCTGAAGGTTGAATATATCATACTGGTAATTGTCTAGAATTCCGTCTTGTAGAGTGTTTACGAGCAATTGTGGACGGACGGACGGACGGACGGACGGACGGACGGACGGACCTGGGTGACGGCAATATACGCCCCCCCATTTCATGTGGTGATTCCAAAAAGATGTATTTAGTAGTTTGTTTCTTCCCCTGATGAAGTCAAAATTTTTTTGACGAAACGTTGGGTATTAAAGGATGGTATTTGATATCAAGTTTTATTATTTATTACCCCATTTCATGAGGGCGTATAAAAATGAAGACATATTTGTGCTGCTCACAAGGTCACCAAAGGTCAAGGTCACAGAATATAAGCCTTATCAGTTTTGGCCAATATTGAAAAAAATCGACAGGAAATAACAAAAAAGCAAAATCAAAATTTAAAAATCCGCTCCCACGTGATTATTAGCAATTGATGGTATAAACATTAAAATAATGTAAATTGACATCAAAACCGGAAGTGAGATACAAAAATTCTGAAAAGAGAATTTTGTTTGCAAATAGAATGTATATAACTTTTCAGATTGATTGAAATAAAATTGTATAAGTTGAAAAAAATGCTAAAATTGAAACAAAAAGATAACTTGCCAGGCAAGGTAACATACGCCAGCTGACAGCTGTCAGAATTGATAAAACAGCCTTTAGTGACTAAAATATGAATTATCTCATATTAAAGAAATTTTAATAGTTTGAATTCAATGATATATATATTTACTGCCAGTTATTTTTGCTAAGAAATTCCACCAAATTTTTAAAAATCAATATCAATAACCCAAATACATCAAATTATTGCATCAATATACATGATCACACCATGTTTCAATAAAATCAATTGAAAACTGTAGTCTCTAATGTGTTCACAAACAAATTTTGACCCATTTTTCTTAAGTCAAGGGCAAAAACTCAAAGACCGTTCATCAAAATATCAAATTTCAACTTGACCAAGATCTCATCAATATAAATGATCACACCAAATTTCATTAAAATCAGTTGAAAACTGTAGTCTCTATTGTGTTCACAAGAAATGTTGACGGACCAAAGTCAAAATCTAAAATTCTTTAAGTGCTATCCTTTAGTCATTAGTTTAAAGTAATGAACAAAAGAAAAATAACGGTCAAAATAGATTCAGAATTAGAGCAGTAATTCAAAATACACAACGAAAAGTTAAAGTCCTACGTCATTTCTGTTTAAGTGAAAATTCGTCATTTTACATTCATCAACTAACAGACGATCCTGTCAGATAACATGCAGTTTTGGCTGTGAGTTCTGGCCAGAATTCCATAAAAAAGTCATTTAGAAACTGCAATGAGTCACAATTAGCCACCATCATTAGTGTTGACAAACAGTAATGTAATTTGGGCAACAAATATCCTAGCATTCATTTATAGTTGATTATCAAGTTTACATATAGTCTAAGAGCATTAGGTTTATTGGATAATGCTGACTTCATTATCCATTTGTTTATCCATATTATGATGCACTTTAATTTCTTGAAAACTGTTGATGTACAATAGATGCCGACAATACACATACTGGAATTAGTGAGAAATAGTAAAATAAATCCAAGTATTTACCTTTAACTGATATAAATGCCTTTGTAGAGGTTACTCCAACTGGATTAGAAGCCTTACAAACATAGTCACCTTCATCATCAATAACAACATCTGCTATTTCTAATACAGATCTTCCTTCTGATTCAGTAGTTTTAATTGAGACAACATCATCATTACTCAACATCTAGGTGACAATATATTTGAGATATAAGTGAAACAAGACATTCATATGTCAAATTTGTTTTTGATAAAAACAGATTGAACATATATTGTACTGGTATATACATCAGCAGTTTATCATTTAGGGTGTTGCAAGGTCTATTTTATGTTTTGAAAATATGAAAAGATAGACTTGCAAAGCAAGCTGAAATACGCCCACCACCAGCTTTGATTGCAAGTACAAAATCATTATTTGTTGTTCATTCACATTTGGTTCATGTTTAGTCTATAGAGAATTTTAAACAACCTTTATTGTATCGCATCATGGCTAGTTTTTAACGCATGTCTTGATTCTTGCACATAGACAGTATATTGTGCATGTATTATGCTTTTCGGCATTTTTATAATTACTTAGACTCTATATGTATCTGAAAGATAAAGAATTGTGAATATTGAATACACTTCCAAAACATTAAATCAATTCTTCACCCATACATCAATCTTACAACGAAATTCGATATATTTCCAAACAATCAAAAGACAAGAAATCTGTCTGTAGTGTTCTCAGGTCAAATGTGAATGGACAGACTGAAAGACAAGGTGAAAACAAGTCCATACTACATGTGGGCATATAAAATCAAAAGAATCCATAAAGAAATGTTGCCTGTAGAGATTTGCCCGTTAACACTATAGAAGGCACAATTCTTGTTTCTTATCACCCAAGGATGAACCCTAATGAAAATCAGAAGAATCAAAATATTTAGTATGAGTTGTTGCCCTTGTTCTTGAAAACGTGTTCAATTTTCAGCTCATAAACACTCTTAAAAGAAACAATTTTTGTGAGATTTTAACCAAACTTGGTGTGACTGTTTTTTATCACCAAAGGTTAAACCCTATTGAAAATCAGAAATTGAAAAATATTTAGTATGAGTTATTGCCCTTGTTTTGGAAAATGCGGTCGATTATAAGCTCGTTAACAGTTTCGAAGGCACAATTTTTGACTAATTTTGATGAAACTTGGTTTTATTATTCAATACTTGTTGAATATTTGCCTTCTAGAGTTTTCACAACATAAAAACAAGTGGTTGCCTAGCAAGATACGCCCACTTTCCTCATACATTTTCAGTATATCAAGGGCAGTCACTTATCTGTGGCAAATCACACCAAAAATCTAATTTGTGCAAGGTATTGTTGATTTAAACAAGGACACATTATTTAATAAAATTCTGACATAAACTGTCACCTCTATTGCCAACAAATTTTGATAAGATTTTAAGTCATGGGCAATAACTCAAATTCTGTTGATCGAAAAATTGTCAAATTCAATCTGGACTAAGATCTCATCATTATAAATGATCATACCAAATTTCAATTAAATCGGATGAAAACTGTACTCTCTGTTGTGTTCACAAACAAATTTTCACACGTTTTTCATAAATCAAGGGCAATAACTCAAAAACCGTTCATCGAAATATAGCCAACTTCAGACTTGACCAAGATCTCATCATTATAAATATTCACACCAAATTTCATTTAAATTGGATGAAAACTGTAGTTTATTCACAAACAAATTTTGACGCGTTTTTCAAAACCGTTCATCGAAAAAACGTGAATATCGAACTTGTCCAAGATCTCATTCAAATCAGATGAAACTGTAGTCTCTATCGCATTCACAAGCCAATTATGACGCGTTTTGGCTAAGTCAAGGGCAATAACTCAAAAACCGTTCATCGAAAAATCATAACTATCGAACTTGTTCAAGGTCTCATCAATATAAATGATGACACCAAATTTCATTAGGATCAGATGAAAACTGTAGTCTCTATCGCGTTCACAAGCCAATTGTGGACCGACGGATGGACGGACATGGGTGACAACAATATACATCCACATTGTAATGTGGTGATTTCAAAAAGAAAAAACAGGCAGCAGTAACCAATCACAGAAGACTTTTTGATGGGATCACCAATACCACTAGTAGTACGGCGATTCATTTGATGTATACTGAACTTGGTGTAATAAATAATAAAACTTGACAGGTAGGTAGGTAGGTAGATGACAAGTTAACGTTCGCTTCCGGCGGATGCTGATATCGCAAACTAAAACTTGACATCAAATACCATCCTTTAATACCCAACGTTTCGTCAAAAAAGCTTTGACTTCATCAGGGGAAGAAACAAACTACATGGGATCACCAATACCACTAGTAGTACAGCAATTCATTTGATGTATACTGAACTTGGTGTAATAAATAATAAAAGTTGACATCAAGTTTTCGTTGGGGATTAAAAGATGGTATTTGATGTAAAGTTTTATTATTATTACACATTATAATGTGGGTGTATAATTATACTGATTTTCGTTAAGGTTCATCCTTGGGTGATTACTAACACCAAGTTTCATCAAAATCTGTCTAGAATTGTGCCTTCTGGAGTGTTTACGAGCCATTTAAGAACATGGCAATAACTAATACTAAATATTTTTGATTTTTCTGATTTTTAATAAGTTTCACCCTTTGGTGATTACAAACAACCATACCAAAGTCGTAAACACTCTAGAAGGAACAATTCTTGATGGATTTTAATGAAACTTGGCATGATTGTTCATAATCACCCAAGGATGAACCCTATTGAAAATCAGAAGAATCGAAAAATATTTAGTATGAGTTATTGCCCTTGTGCTTGAAAACGCTTTCAAATTTAGCTCTTAAACACTAAAAGGCATGATTCTTGCTGGATTTTGACAAAACTTGGTTTTATTATTCAGTCCAGCGCTGAAGATTGAATATTTGCCTTCTAGAGTTTTCACGAGCCAAAAATTGAACACCTTTTCAAAAACACGGGCAATAACTCATACACAATATTATTCAGTATCGCCCTAAAGAGTTCAAAAGAAGTGTATGACTGAAGGTTGAATATTTCTTTTTATTCAAAATCAAAGCTGCCAGTTAGCGTATATTACCTTGCCTGGCAAGCTATCTTAACATTAAAATGCAGATAATTCTGGACACACATTTGAAGGCTCAAAGTTCGCTGTTGAGCTGTGAACACTATTGGTGATTAGCTGAGCTAAAAATTCCAATTTCTGAGAATAAAGTATGATTAGTCAAAAAAAAGGCCTATATGTCCCTTTAAAAGGACTTGCCAAACTGGACAAACGCATTATACACGCAAAAATACAGCCCTTTATACTTTAACAAAAAAGAAAGGAAAAAACACAAGAATTTATGTATGTATGGTCAAAGGTGCAAATATGGAAGACTGTACATGACAAAGTCCTATCAATGTCACAATATCTTTTTTCTTATTTTCAGAGTATTTTATATGTTTTCTGGTCTGAATTTAATAAACGTATATTTTGTTAATCTTTAAAATAAAGGTAGCACAGTTCTCTGCTATTTCCGTTTTTCGGTAAAATAATGTCTGATATCAAAGAAAACACAGAAAGAAAAGAGTTATGTTGAGGACCTATCAAAATGTTAATGTTTCATTAAAATTCTTGTAGGTTGAATGAAATGAATTAAACTAGAATTGTTTTCTCCTGTTGCTAGTTAGCCACAAGGGACGCTGTTCTGAAGGTGTTTCAAATAGCAAAGGAATGCTTTGTTTATCATTCAGCGCTATGTCACCGTCTCTCTGCACGTGAATTTGTTGTTTTATCTTCACACATGTTGACGAGTCAACAGAAAGTATTGGTAGTACATTGAAACTTGTTTCAAATCAACTACAAGAATTAAAAGAAGATAGAAGTAATTGTGGGACTTTGCTTTCAAAATCGAAATGTCCATTCTTTTTTTTTTTTTTTTTTTTTTTTTTTCGTTTCGTCCACACCTTCCCGAGCTTAGACTGCAGTAGTTGCAGCAACGTTTCAAATTTCATAGACCTTCTATATAGGTGACGATGTGCATAAATATAAATAGGAACATTTTTGCAAAACCGGAAGTGCCACAGTTCAACATGTGCAAAAAGTCGAAAATCGGCTCTAGAAGGCGCATTTTTGCATCGATTTTCTTCGGGTTTTCATTTTTAAAATCTACCTGTAATTTCTGACCTGATAGCACTTGAAAAATTACGAAATTAGAAAATTCGTCGCTCACTTTTTTCGATCAAATATTTCGATTTTTTTGCAACTTTTTTGCTTTTGCATCGATTGATCTGAAATTTTAAATGCAAAGAGACTTCACTAATGTCAATAATATGATACAGTCAAATTTTGTACGTCATTTCCGATTTTCAACAGGAAAGCGACTGAACTTCAAATCTACTTCCGGTTGAATAACTTCCGGTGTAATTTATGTAGGTCAACAAAATTTGGCTGATCTTTGGCAAATAAAATTTTATGGCCGATTTTAAAATAAAATCCAGACCAGAAGTGATACTTTGGCCGCCATATTGAAAAAACACACTTTTGTAAAACTCAAAATGGGGCCTCAGGGTAAAAGTTGATATGCTCAAATTTGATGTGAATGTATCCTGTAATCAATTGCGCAAAAAACATTGGGAGCCGAATTTTGAATTTCGCTTTTGCTTTTTTGCAACTTCCGGTTGAAAATTTTTAAAGCTTTAAACGATCACACCATGTGACCTTGACCTTTGATGACCTTGTCCTTCATAGGGTCAAAGGTCATTGACCTTGGCTATCATTTGATACTTTGACCTTTGACCTCCGACATGTACTTCCGGTTTTATAGCTATCCGTAAAAAGCCAAATTCGCAACTTTGGTCTGCTCTAGCACGTGACCTACTTAACCTAGAGGGTTAATTTTTTCGGTTTCCTAATGTGCTTCTTATGCCCTTTACATAGATATATAACAATCGTTCTTTTAAAGCAAAATTGAAATTGGTGATTTTTTCAAATTTGAGGTTTTTTTTACAATATTTGCGTCTTTTTGAGCTTGGTGTATGTATATCTTATGATCTATTTGATGTAGAACCTTGATATTTGGAATACAACTAGACACTTTGAATTCACCTATGACAAAAAAACTTATGTGGGCGTGGCACATCCGGGTTGAATTACTAATTG